ATGGTCTTTGTTGCAGCTACTGAACTCTACCTGGATAGTATATGGATAATATAGTGTGTATATTGTTGTCAAGTGCTGTCGAGTCAATTCTGAATCATCGAGACCCAGTGAGATAGAATATAATTGCCCCAGAGTGTTTTCTAGGCTGTAAACTTTATTGGAGCAGAAAGCCAAGTTTATTCTCTTGCAGAGCCATTGGTTGGGTTCAAACCACCAACCTTTTGGAAAACAGTCAACTGCTTAACCATTTTGCCACCAGGGTTCCCATTGTATCTATGTTGTTGTTAGGTGCCATCAAGTCGGTGCTGATTGATAGCAACCCTCTGTACAACAGAACAAGACACTGCCCAGTGGTGTGCCATCCTCCCAATCCTTGCTATACTTGAGACCATCATTGCAGCCACAGTGTCAATCCATCTCATTGAGAGTCTTCTCCTTCTTCTCTGACCCTCTACTTTGCCAAGCATGACATCCTTCTCCAGGTAATGGTCCCTTCTGACAACATGACCAAAGTAGGTGACACAAAGTCTGGCCATTCTCAGTTTCAAGGAGCATTCCAGCTGCACTTTTTCCAAGATAGATGTGTTTGTTCTTCTGGCACTCTGTAGTATCTATAGACGATATAGTCTGTACTGTCTATAGACAATATATAAATGAATGAATGTGGCTATGTTTCAATAAAATTTTATTTAAGAACACTGAAAGTTTAATTTTAGGTAATTTTCAGGTGTCACAACATAACTATTTTCCTTTTGAATTTTTTTCAACCATTTAAAAATGTAAAAGGTATTCTTAACTCATGGGCTGAACAAAAATAGGCCCTGATCTAGATCAGACCTCTTATTGTATAGATGAGAAACTTACCCATAGGCCTGTGGTAGGTTAATGTTCAAGCTGGGATAAGATTCCAAGCCTGTGCCTTTCCCACAATTCCATGTGGCCAGGTTGCAACCATGGGGCAAGGTTTTGAAAACTTCCGAGCCATAACCAAACACCTTGAAAGCTTAGATGTGAGAATGGGGAGCTTTACAATCTTGAGCCATAACCAAACTTCTTAGCCATAAGCAAACATCTGGGCTTGCAGGTTTAGGACCACAGTCTCAGGGGACAGCTAACTCAATTGCCATATATAGTTTTCAAAGAAAGTGTTTCTATATCCAACTGATGAGTAGTGACTAGGGTTTTAAAAGCTAGCCAATGGCCATCTAAGATGTAACTATTGGTCTTGCTCCATCCAAAGCAAAGAAGAGTAAAGAAAGTCAAAGACTTATGGAAACAAATAATACAAAGGACTAATAATGGACCTCAGCCCACTTGACCTTCAGACCAGAAAAGCTAGGTCATGCCTGGTTATCACTACCAATAGCTCTGAAAAGGATTATAGTAGAAAGTCCTGGATAGAGTGGGTGAAAATGTGGAACAAACTTCAAAATCATAAAAAAAGATCAGGCTTACTGGTCTGATAGAGACTGGAGGAACCCTGAGTCAATGACCCTTATTAACCCTTCAAGCCTAGAGTTGAACTCACCCCTGTGGCTCAACTTTCAGCCAAGGAATAGGTAAGCCTATAAGGTGAGCAATAACATAACATTAAAGGAGTATGCACTCCTTACAACAATCAGCCATACAAAATCAAAAGAACAGCATTTCACCAGATATAAAACTCAGAAGGCAGGAAGGGATAGAAAAGAGGGACTAATGGAAATGGGAAACACAGGGAGGAAGTGGGAAAAGTGCTATTACATTGTAGTGATTGCAATGAGTGTCGTGAAACAAAATGTATACAAAACTGTTGAATAGAAAACCAATTTTCTCTGTAAACTTTCACTCACATCAAAATGAAGTTTACAAAAATAAAAAGAAAGTCCCAGAATAGTGCATGGTACCATAGGGACCTCCCCAGACATATTATTGAATGAAATGGGAAATGTTGACATCACTTCAAAGAACATCGCATATTTGTTGAAGTCTTCTATTTCAATTTTTTTTTTTTTTTTTTTTTTGCATTCCCAACTTCAGTTACAGCATTTTGAAAGTACACATTCACCAAAAGCTCAAAGGGCAGCTTTCTCATCCTATTTTATATATTGGGGAGGTCAAGGCATTAGATGGGGCAAGAAGTCTTGGAATCAGGATTCCTCCCTCCATCCCTGCACACTTGGCTTTCCTTCACTTCCATCCTCTTCCTCCTCCTGCTTTCATTGTGCTACTGTCGATCCCACATGTAAACCAATAGCACCATCTCCTGTCTTCTTAGCAATGTGTTTCCTTCATGTTCCTTATGTTAGTCACCGAGGACCAGAATAACAAAAAATGCCACAAGTGAGTGTCTTTAAAGATCAGAATTTATTGTCAGTTTTGAAGGCTACAAGTTCAAATCAGGACAGTGGCTCCTGGGGGGAGTTCTTCATTGTCTATTGTCCAGGAATTCTTTGGTGTTCCTGTCTTCCCTCATGTGTGTGTCTCTGTGCCTATTCTGGTCCATTTGTAACTCAGAAGCTATTAGGTTTAGGATCCACCCTTACACTGGTGTGACCTCGTTAATATAACAAAAGAAATCTTTTATTTCCAAACAGGATCACATCTACAGGTAGGGGCCAGGAATTCAACACATATTTTGAGGGACACAATTCAATCCATAACACGTAGCTCCTAAAAGGGATAAGCAAGAGAATATAAATGATTGTGAATAAAATACTTCAACCCTGCAAAATAAGCAACCTCCTTTTACAGGAACAAAAAGAAATGATTTCTCATTTTTGCTTTGCATTGCACTGCTCTCTTCTGTAATGCTAGAAATATTCTTGACGTCATCTATCTTAGCATTTCTCCAATTGTAACCCAATGAATGTGAACTTAGATTGGAAACTTCTCCTTGAAGTAAGAAATGAACATCCAGGTATTAAAGACAAGGCACAACCTTGCACTAAAGAAGTATGCGCAAAGCTTTTTAACCCACTGTTTTCCAAATTCTTGGCCATTGAGCCCTTCTCCATGCACCCCCTACTAACACCCTGGGGAACTGGTCCAGGCCATCAAGACTGTCCCAGAGCAGATGCAACTCTCTTATGGCTCCACCTGATTCTGCCTTATGCTGTTATTTCCATCTGATCCGCCCCCCAACTGTAAGACCTTCAAAACTCACATTGAGGCTTCCTTCTCTTCCTATGTGGTTGTTGTTAGTTGCTGTTGAGTAGGCTCCACCTCATGGTACTCTTATGTGTAACAAACCAAACATTGTCCAGTCCTGCACCATCTTTGTGATCGTTGGTATGCTTGAGCCCAGTGTTGTGGCTATTGTGTCAACCACTCTTATTGAGGGTTCCTCTCATTTCCATTGACCCTCTACCAAACACAATGTCCTTTTCTAGTGATTGGCCTTTCCTGGTGAGCTGAGTCTCACCATCCTTGCTTCTAAGGAGCATTTTGTGTGATCCATAAGGCTTTCATCTCCAGGCCGTTCTTCCTAATCTGTCTTAGCCTGGAAACTCCACTGAACCCTTTCCACCATGGGTGACTCTGCTAGTATTTGAAATACCAGTGGTATAGTGTCCAGTATCACAGCACCATGCAAGCCATCACAGTATGACAAACTGGCAGACAGGTGGGAGTCTCTTCACATAGGATAGGATTTCTCAACTTAAGCACTATTGACCTTTTGGGCTGGATAATTCTTTGTTCTAGGGGCTGCCTTGTGCATCATAGGATGTGTAGCAACACCCTCTCCCTCAGTTGTTCCAACCAAAAATGTCTCCAAACATTGACAGATGGGGGCAGAATTGACTTAGATTAAGAACCACTAAGGTAGATCATCAAGCCATGTCCCTGGTAGCCCCGCAGTCAATATATGTGGTAAATAATGGAACTCATGAATCTCTAGAGTCAGAAAAGAAAATGAGGGCTTCCTTGGATTTGCATGGCTAAGAAGTGGTTGTATACCTGGCAGTGAAGTTTTCATTGCTTAGGCCTTCCCATCCCTGCAGTAGGTCTTAACATCAATGCTTTATTTAACAAGCTCTTAAATAGCATGCTTTAGAGCATCTGAAACATAGCAAAGCATACCTACGGTAAGTGACAGGCCGGAAAGGCAGAGGAGCAGTTTTCCTCTTGTAGTATGTAACTCTCTGGATTTCTAAACATTAACAGTATGACACAAAGAAGCTAGACACTGCTTTTTTTTTTTTTTTTTCCCAATTGTCAGAGAAAAGCCTTAAACTTTCAAGTGCATTTGAACCTTGCCAAGAGTGGTTCTCTTTCTCCCATCTTTATGAAAAGCCTCATCCAATGAACATCAATCTCTCCAGCAGCCCAAAGAGTTTTCTAAGTTTATCCCCTTACCCCTGAATTCTGTCCACATGTTTCTTGAAGAAAATGCCCTTCTGTATTCTAGTTCTGGTGTGTGTACTAAAAGAATATTTAAATTTGCTAAAGTGTCAAGGCTCATGAATCTTGGAAGACAATTTGAATAATTCTTTAGAGAAGATAGCAGCCAACTTTTTTCTGTAAAGACCAGATAGTAAATACTTTAGGCTTTGCAGGCCAAAGGGATTCTATTGCACCTTCTTTACTCAAAACTGTAGCGAGAAAGCAGCTATAGACAATATGTACATGAATGAGCATGGCTGTGTTCTAATAAAAATTTATTTATAAAAGCAGGTTATAGGCTGGGTTTGGCCCATTGGCTATGCAAACCCCTGCTTTTGAGATCTCTAATATGTAAACCAGCCTTTGCCACCCTGACCACAAGGAGGAAAAATATTCTACTCTTTTCACCAGTAAAAATCACATTCTCCATCCCCTTTTGATTGAAAGACTTTGATCTGGTAACCCCAAATGTAGTTCCTAATCCCCCCATTTTTTTTTTTTAATCTCAGTTACCACTGCTAACCTTTCCAAGTTACTCAACTTAAACTTTGTGCTTGTTTTCAAAAGAATGATGCTTCTTGCTCTATCTCTCTTTTCCAGAAGTTGATCTCACTTATCCCCATCTCTCTTCCCAGGAAAATATGCAAGTCCTGCAAGTGCAGCCAAGAAGACCACTGCCTAAGCTCTGACCTGGAAGATGACCGGAAAATTGGCCGTTTGCTGATGGACTCCAAGTATTCCACCCTTACAGCCCGAGTGAAAGGGGGGGATGGCATCCGGATCTACAAAAGGAACCGTATGATCATGACTAACCCTATTGCCACTGGGAAAGATCCGACCTTTGACACCATCACCTATGAGTGGGCTCCCCCAGGAGTCACCCAGAAACTGGTAAGAATAGCATCTATCCAACTAAGTATTTTGTTTTGTTTTGTTTCCTGCCCTTACAAATATTACCCAAATATGCCATGGGTTTCTGAATTCTGAAGATGAGGTAGGAAGAGGGCAAAGTAACATAATTGGTAGGAGTGGCTATGCCTTTGACTTTGCTCCTACCTCATTGTGTGATCTTGAAGTGAAGACTTACTGGGCATCAGTTTTCCTCATCTGTGAAATGCCATAAAATGGGTAGGGAAGTTGCCTATGAACTCTAAGAGCCCTTCTAGTTCTAACACAGAGTTATTCATGGCTCCCTTTGGGTTCCTCACTTCTAAACGGGATTGTTTATTGTTCACATTTCTCAGAGTGCTTTTCCCCATCTGTGACATGTTCATTTCCCCTCAACATAGCCTGAGATATGAAAAACACATGGTTTATTACAACCCTGGGGAAGAGGCAACCAGAGAAGTCTTGGGAAAATGGTTAGAGAGGCCCTGAGGAGACTGGAGAGGCTCAGACAGAGCAAATGACTCACACAAGGTTACACAGTGGGTGGTAGATCAGACATTAGAGTCCAACTTACCTGACCCACTGATCTGGTGTTATCCCCATTACCAATTAACACTGAGTAGCTCCAAATATGTATTTCCAGTTACCTCTTATTGTTCAAACAGAAGTGCATGTAGCTAAGCATGTGCCCCATGCTGAGGCCAGGAGGGCCCCCTGATGGACTGAGCAGGTACTATGTGTGGTCCAACAACTACCAGTTCCCGTTGAGGACTCTGGGGGGTGCTTCTCTTCTCCACCCTCCTTCCTGGCCAGCTGGTGATTAAGATTGCTGGCAGCTCTGTGCTGCCCAAGGCATATGGAACATTCTCTCTACCCACAATAAATCAAGGCCATATCACATAGAGTTTATGAATCAGGTTCCCAGGTTTGAATCCCCACCCCAACTCACCCCACCTCTGTGATTATGCAGGTTGATGGGATAACCATGAGCATCACTTAGCAAGACACTGGTATTTAGTTGATGGGATAACCTATGAGCAGCACTAGCAAGACACCAGCTGTATGTGTGCCGGGCCACAGCCATGAGGTTTGTTCCAAAGGTCCTATTTTGGCAGGAGCTAGGGAAATGACTGAGACCTCTGGTGGCGTAGTGCCTAAGGCATTTGACTGCTAACCAGAAGGCTGGCAGTTCAAACTCGCCAGCCACTCCTCAGAAAGAAGATTGGGTGATCTACTTCCGTAGAGATACTGCCTTGGAAACCCAAGGAGGAGTCACTATGAGTCAAACTGACTTGATAGCAGTGAGTTAGAGTTAAGGGAAATGGGTGGAGATCCAGTGGTCTTCAGCTCATACACAGGAAGAACAGAGGAAGCTAACTACCATTACTTATCTTGGGAGTTAGGGGAAGAGGAGACAGGAAGCCTGGTCATGACTCAAACTCCAACATGATGGGTAGGCTTATTTCTTGGGTGACCATGCATTCATTTGCCCAGAACATTTTTCACCTGTTGTCCCAGAGTAATTTTCAGTAGTTCCTATCCCACTTTCTCCATTTCACTCTCAAAAGCATTCCTGTTTGAGCAATGTGTTCACCATACCTATGGCAGTTTCCACAAGGTGACAGCCAAGTCTTGTGCCGTTTGGCCCATCAATCTTATCCAAGGATTGGCCTGGTTAAGGGAAGACCAGAGTGACCCTCCTCTACCTTCTCTTTTGCCACCTTCATCCTTCAACTGGTTGACTCAAGTTCAATCTCCTTAGGGTAGCATTCAGGGCCCTTCATGGTCAGACATTCACATGCACATACTCACTTATGCTCCATTCAACCATAATTCTCACCATCTCTGGATATTTTCTACCCTGTCTGGCCTCAGGACATACTCAGTCTGGATTGTCTCACCTCTTTGGCCAATGCCTATTCAGTTTTCAAGCCCATATGACCAGTCCTCAAGTCCTCCAGGCCAAGGGAATGGATTTGTCTCTAAATCCACTCACTTTCTTCTCACAACTTTTGTTCCCTAGCCTCTCAGCTAGCAGAGGGCTGTGCAGGTTGGCCCTGTGTTGCATGAATTACCCCCTCCAGCTATTCTCGGCCATCGGGGCCTAGGGAGCACCTTTCATTTAGGGTGCAGGAAGTACGTTGTCAAGTTCTCAAGCTGCTTGATGAAATAGTCACTCCTTCTAGCAGACTCTAACATAAGAGTAACTGAGCTAACAATCTTTTGGCTCCCTTTTTACCAGCATAGAGAGGCTCTAAAAGAAGCATGAGCAAGGAGCAGGTAGTGAGTCCTGCTGAAGTAAGCAATGGTACCTGACTGAGTTCATCTGTTGTGTACAGATCAATAGCTCTCACAGTGGCTGCCCACTGGATCCCCTGAGGAGCTTTAAAATGTCCCCATGCCCAGACCTCACCTCAGACCATGAAGTTAGAATCTCCAGATTGCAAAATCAGAATCTACCAGATGTGAGCATTTAAAAAAAAACTCCCCAGATAACTCCACATGCAGCTTCATTTAAGAATCATCAATCTTCATAAGTGGTCCTCAGATTTAAGTGTTTGTATAAACGATCTAGTGATCTCATTCACATACATCCAGTGGGTTTGGGGCAGGTATGTGATTCTGGATTTCTCACAACTGCCAAATGATGTTGATGTTACTGGTCCACACTTTGAATAGCAGGAGGCTAGATTATTTCTACAAGTTTATGAGATAAGAGAGGTTGTACAATTTTAAAGAGGCAAGCCTGGCATTTGGTTGCATTTTTGCTAGAAGAAAAGGAGAGCATTTGGAGTCCTGCATGGACTGTTTCCTTCCCTTTCTCTTCTATGGCTCCTACTACAGCCCCCACACACACACTCAGTACCTCACAGCACACTGGCCTTCCTCCTTTCAGTTCTGGAACACATCAAGCTCTTGCCTTCCTCCCAGACTTTGTGTTTAATGTTTCCTCTGCACAATGTGCCCTTCCCCGCTCATTTGCATGGCTGGGTCCTTCTGAAATCCAGGTCTCAGACTAAACCAAAACCCATTGCTATGGAGTTGATTCCAACTCACAGCAACCCTATAAGACAGAGTAGAACTGCCCCATAGGGTTTCTAAGGCTGTAAATCCTTACGAAAGCAGACTGTTTCATCTTTCTTCCATAGAGTGGCTGGTAGGTTCAAAGTGCTGACATTTTGTTTAGCAGCTGAATGCCTTAACCACTGCACCACCAGAGCTCCTTGGGTCTCAGGCCTCCCCTAACTACTCAACCTATACTCGATGCCACCCCTTCTCCCACCACATTTATTTTCCATCTCAGTTCTTACTAATTTCTTTATAAACCTAATCATTGTAAACTGTAATTATTTCATGTATCTCTTTTCTTAGTTATCATTGCTCTTCCACACTGTAATAAAGCAAAGTCCATGAAGACAGACATCATGCCTATATGTCATCCAGATGGAGATGATAACAGAGAAGTTACTGCACCAGGACTTCTCACATAGTGTTTATCTGTAAGCCAAGCTTCCTTTCTTCCCAAGACAGAGAACAGGCTCTAGAAGGCCAAGCCAAAGCCACCTCCACATAGTGACAACTTCTGGTACCTGGTGAGGCTTACACAGCACACTCACCCTGAAATAATGACAAATAGAAAACCTTCTAGAGAGTGAGGGACATTTTTTTCTGTTTGCAAATTATCTCTGCTCTGTTGTTGTTGTTGTTAGGTGCTGCTGAGTCATCTCTGACTCATAGCAACCTTATGCACAGCAGAATGAAACACTGCCTGGTCCTGCACCAGCTCTGTGATCCTTGCTATATTTGAGCCCATTGCAGCACCCACTGTGTCAATTCATCTCATTGAGGGCCTTCCACTCCTTCATCAACCCTCCACCTTACCAAGCATGACATCCTTCTCCAGGGAATGGTCCCTTCTGGCAACATGACCAAATTAGGTGAGACGAAGTCTGGCTATCCTCGCTTCCAAGGAGCATTCTGGCTGCACTTCTTCCAGAACAGATTTGTTAGTTCTTTTAGCACTCCATGATACTTTCAGGATTCTTCGCCAGCACCACAACTCAAAAGCATCAACTCTTCTTTGGTCTTCTTTATTCATTGTCCAGCTCTCACATGCATATGAGGTGATTGAAAATATCATGGCTTGTGTCAGGCACACCTTAGTCCTCAAGGAGATGTCTTTGCTTCTCAGCACTTTGCAGCCAACTTGCCCAGTGCTATTCATTGTCTAATGTCCTGACTGCTGCTTCCATTAGCATCAACTGTAGAACCAAGCAATGTGAAGTCTTTAACAACTTCAGTCTTCTCTTCATTTATCGTGATGCTGTTTATAGGTCCGGTTGTGAGAATTTTTGTTTTCTTTAAATTGAGATGTAATTCATACTGCAGACTGTATTCTTTAGTCTTCATCAGTAAGTGTTTCAAGTCATCCTCACTTTCAGCAAGCAACATTGTGTCGTCAGCATATTGCAGGTTGTTAATGATTCTTCCTTCACTCTTGACACCACATTCTTCTTCATATAGTCCAGCTTCTCAGATTATTTGCTCAGCATATAGATTGAGTAAGTATGGGGGAAAGAAGAGAACCTGACGCACTCCCTTCTTGATTTTAAACTATGTAGTGTCCCCTTGTTCTGTTCGAATGATGGCCTCCTGGTCTATGTACAGGTTCCTCATGAGTACAAAGAAGTGGTCTGGAATTCCCATTCTTCTCAATGTTATCCACAATTTGTTATGATCCACACAATTGAATGCTTTTGCATAGTCAACGAAACATAAGTGAACATCTTTCTGGTATTCTTTGCTTTGAGCCAAGATCCATCTGACATCAGCAAATGATATCCCTTATTCCACATCCTCTTCTGAATCCAGCCTGCACCTCTGGAAGATCTCTGTCAATATACTGCTGCAACCATTTTTGAATTACCTCTGCTCTAGGAAAGTAATATAGAGGGTGTTGAGCATGTGAATTCTGGACCTAAGATGCCCAAAGCCCATCTCCA